AAGGAAATAGTAGGCTGAGATATAAGGATCACAGTTCAAAAGCAGCCAGGGCAAGAAAGACCATAAGACTCTTATCTCCAATTAGCTACCAGAAAACCAGAAGTGGTGCTGTAGCTCAAGTGGTAGAGTGCTAACCTTTAGCAAAAGAAGCTTAGGAACAGTGAGCAGGCCCAGAGTTCAAGCCCCAAGAGTGACAAAAATTTAAAAGACTTCAAAATGCAGTTGCTCTGTTGTGCTTTTGAGCCTTTTTGTCTTGAGATTTCTGAGGAGGAAAATCATACCCTCTTAGGTTATTCCTGGGGGCTTGAGAACTAAATTAACAAAAGAGATGAACAAGAGGAAAGGCATATAATTGTTATAAATATGTGTCAGGCACAGGAGCTTATAGGAGAAAAAGTTGAAGTGTGAGCACTAGTATATATACTTTTTTTTTTTTTTTTTGCCAGTCACTAAATCAACTGAACTATACAGTTGACCTACACATTTCTGGGTTAGAAAGTATTTCGCGTTTGCCTATCACTTGGTATATTATAACAATAGTTTATCCCTCTGCGAAATGGGGAAATGGTATATCTTTAACTTGGAGTGGTATTGTGAAGATTAGTGAAATATAAACCAAAGGCCTCAGATTTCAACACTCTGAGACTGCTACTGTGGTCACATGATGCAGCTACCTTGTTTGGAATGATTCCTCTACTCAAGGGGAAAGTCCCCTCCCAGGAGAGGATCCATAGATAGCTGATGTGCTCTGTATCATGGTGTCCCCCCTCCCTCCTACCCCCACCCCCACCCGGACCAATGAGCAGCTGGAGCTCCACTCTGCCAGGGTACTAATCCATGATCAGGTCCAGGCTGATCATCTGTGGAAGTACAGTGGAGACTCACCAGCAAAGAGCACTGGACTTGTATTTCATGATGCAAGACGACCCAACTCACTTATTGACTTAACAGCTATCTATTGTGAACCTTATACGTGCCAAGTGGTGCATAGAGGCATGCCAAGCCAGATGTAGGAATTAGAGTAATTGCTTTTGATCAGGAAATGAAAAGAGAAAATGTTCTTCCTCTTACTTGTCCTCAGTAGTGAACTCCATGGTCTGGTCAAGACCCCAGAGAGTCAGAATTTAGTAACTCTTTACGTTTGTTTGAAATGCTTCTACAATGACAAGTTTAGAAAAAGAACCTTCATCTGCAGCAGCAGGAACTCAAGCCTGTTCTACCTGAGCCTTTAGGGTCTCTGACGGGATTGGATGAGAACACAGCACCTTTGCGCTTCTCATTTTCAGCTCTTGATAGTTTTCATTGTATTGGATGCCTCTGCTTCCCATTGGTTCTGCCCAGGTTGCTCTGGGGCGATCTACATCTGCCCTCTCATTGCTGTTGCCAGTGTCACGGTGGCCACCTTTTCGACTGCCATCACTTTTTCCATTCTCTTTTTTGAGGTACCAATGATAAATAGCAAAAGTAGGCAAGAAAAGACCACCAGAGAGAAGCATTTTGATTATGTTTATTGCTGCAACACTAAGAAGCAGCACAGGAAGATGTCTCCTGGGCAGTTCCTAAAGTGAGCGTAATGGTCCGTTTACTAGGCCAGAAATAGGGTGTGGCAGAGTACCAATCAGAGTAGTCCATGCAAAAGAAGGGTTACGTTTGCACCAATCAGAGCACAGGCCCTCATGCAACACTCTGTCTGGGGTTTACTCCTTGGCTTTCTGGGCTTGTCCTAGCTGACCATATCTCTGGTCCTACCTCGTGGTTCTGATGTCTTTCAAAGCCGAGTCTTTGCTTCACTTTTCACTTCTGGGTAGGAGAGAGAGAAAGCTTGGGGCGTGGGGGGTAGGGAAGTGGGGAGAAAGTATGTGTGTATGCCCTGGGCTACAGAGTGACAATATGTCTGGCTGGCTGAAGCTGGAGGAAGTCTGAGCCCCGCTGGCTCTTGATGATTGATCCAGACTGTCTTGATGGGGTGAAGAGAACCTGGAGAATAAGAGCAGCTCTCAGCCCAGGGCGCCAGGCAGGGTCTCACGGCCCTTGTTTCTTTATGCGGTCTTGCCAAGGTTAGAGAGGTAGGCATGACCTTTGGTGTTTCTCCTGCCTCCTATCAATACAAGACTCTCTATTCCTCCCACTGACTCTGGAAGATGTTTGCAGCTCTGAAAATGATCAGACGGCCAATTTCAGCCTCTTGACCCGAGGAGAAAGCAACTGGCCTTTGGGTGGCTGCAGCCGAGGTTTCCTTTGCAGTTTCTTGAAGGCAAGTCCAGGGCTGAGGAGAGCCAGCCTTCCTAAGCTCATGCATGGCGGACTTTCTAGGTCATTTTAACCAAACTTGGGGCCTGGCGCTCTCCCTCCCTCCATTCCCTCCCTCCCTCCCTCCCTTCCTCCCTTCCCCCTTCTCTCTTTCTCCCTCCCTCTCCCTCCCTTCCCCTCTCTCCCTCCCTCTCCCTCTCTCTCTCTGACAACAGGAGCCCTCAGCTCCCAGTCTCCTTCACTGTTCAGGTAGCACACACACAGGTGCTGCCTTGGTGCCATACCCCGTTGTCCCCATTCCCTAAGTTCCCTTTTTCTCTTGTTTCTCCTAACCATCCTGCAGGCTGAGAGAAGTGTGTTTTCTCCTCTATTTCCCTAGTCACAACTGCCACGATTGTCCAGAACACTCCGAAGAAAGAAAGAAAGAAAGAAAGAAAGAAAGAAAGAAAGAAAGAAAGAAAGAAAGAAAGAAAGACCTTAAGTTCTGATCAGTTGTTTTTTTTTTTATTTTTCTTTGGGTCCGGTCGTGGGGCCTGAACTCTGGGCCTGGGCGCTGTCCCTCAGCTCTTCAGCTCAAGGCTAGTGCTCTACCACTCGAGCCACAGCGCCACTTCCAGCTTTTTTCTTTTTGCTTATGTGGTGCTGAGGAATCGAACCCAGGGCCTTAAGCATGCAAGGCAAGCGCTCTACCACTGAGCCACCTTCCCAGCCCCTGATCAGTTTTTTATATCATCTTGATCCTTTCTAAGTAGATATAAGGCTCGTTTTATCTTCCATGGGATTCTAGAAACTACTCAGAGTAAACTCACACAAGAAAATTACCAATCAAATTACTTAGTGCCTTCCTTGAGGTATATTTGATCTATAATACATTGCACATATTTAGCTGGATATTGTAGTACATGCCTGTAATTCCAGCTACTATATAAATAGAAGCAGGAGGGTTATGGAGCTTGAGGCCAGCTAAGCAAAGTTAGCAAAAATACAATTATTATTATTGTGCTGGGGCTCAAACTCAAGGCTTCAGGAATGCTAGGCAAGTAGTCTGCCATGGGGCCATACCTTTAGCCTCTGGATTTGGGTCTTTGTTTGAGACAGATTCTCTCTAAGTAGTTCAAAACAATCTGAGAGATGGGTTTACAGGTTTACCACCTGGGATTATGGTTTACTACATCAGCTGGTTATGGTTTAGATCTTAACTATCTCTCAAAGAGGCACAGTTTTGGGCACTATTCTGTGGCACTCTGGAGTTGGAAGAAGAATTAAAACAAAACAAAACTTGTGTCCAGCTGGGTACCTGGTGGCTCACACCTGTAATCCTAGCTACTCAGGAGCTAAAATGTAAGGTTCGAGGTTCAAAGCCAGCCCAAGCAGGAAAATCCATGACACTCTTACCTCCAGTAAACCACTCAGAAAACCGGAAGTGGTGCTGTGGCTCAAGCGGTAGAGTGCTGGCCTTGAGCTGAAGAGTTGAGGGACAGCATCCAAGCCCAGAGTTCAAGCCCCACGACTGACAAAAAACAAACAAACTTGTGTTCAAGCTACGCAGTATGTGACCCTTAGTTGTGGCCACCTCATCAAGCTAATCTATTTGGGTTTCTTGGAGCTGAGGAATGGGGCTCAGGGTGAAGGTTCCGGATCAGTGTTATGAGATGGGCAGAGAGAAGCTGGATTGCAGCGATGCAGAGTCCTGGAGCAAGGATGCCCTGTGGGTTCTCCCAGTTTGAAGAAAGGGGACTTTCCTGTGTTGATTGTTCTCCTATGCAGGGGACAGTGGGGTGAATGGGACTTTTATTCCCAAAGGAGTATTTGGCAATGTCTGTTACAGCTGAGAAGAGTGGGTACTAGTGATATCCTATAGCGGCCAGATGTGCTGCATAGCATCCCACTTATACAACAAGCCCCTGTAACAAAAAGCCATCAGACCAAATGTCCATAGGTCTGTGACTGAAAAGCCGTGCCCACCGTGAGCCCATGGCTATGGGCTGCATTTTCAAAGGCATGACCTTGAGCAGGACCTCCAGTCCAATGTGTCTTCCAGGAAGGGGCATCACTGTGAGTTCTCAGCAGCCCAATTCCCAGCCGCTGTGGGTGAGTGTGCTTTTTGAAGAGTTCTGGACAATGCTAAGTCTCCATTCCCCACCCCTCCATTCCACTCCTCCTTTCCCTCTCCTCCTCCTAATAGTAACAACAATGATAACAATGGCCTGGCCACATCCAGGACCCTGTCCTGTGGGCTTTACACAAACAATCTCACATAAGCTTCATGAGAGGCTCTTTTACAGCACAGAACCAAAGAGGGTCCTTTCAATCATGCCCCAAATCTGCTGAGTTAGTAAGTCACAGACACAGAATTTGAACCCATGACTGTTAGATACCTGGAATCTGTTCTTTTGCCAACAATCAGGGATAACCTTTGGGGAAATCAGAGCAGCAAAGGAAGGAGGAAGAGGGCCAACCGTGAATTTATCCTAGAATTAATGGCAAGTCCCAAAACAATGCATGCTGCAGTGCAAACATCACATGCCGACACTGACTGAGCTCAGGGTTCCGGGAGAGGGGCTGCTGGCCACCTCCATCACTCATGTTAATGGTTACCAAGAAACAGTACCTCCTCCAAGGGGAATGTGGGGGAACTTAGCACTTTGTATCCTGACCACAGAAACTGATAAAGAAAAGAAAACCAATTTCCGGTAGTCAAGTGTATAAAAATAATTTTATTTACTACTGTAAATAAAGTAGTGCAAAGAGTAGTTTGGACCCACAATATTGCATTACTGATTTATTTACTACCTTAGCAGCATACCGTAGTCAGACATTCTGCCCTTGCTTGTCCTCTGACACACGCATGCGCACACACATATACGTACCGACACACACATGTGCATGCTCATGCACGCACGCGCGCACACACACACACACACACACACACACTCCTATACAGACTCAGGCAGGCATAGAGGGGCTGGAATGAACCTATGAGCGAAAGGCTTGTTTTCTGCATGTTGTATTGCCGCCAGTCTATCCTCATGGGTAATTCATGGAGAAGGACTACACTTAAATACTAAGGATTTTGTTAGATGTTACTTTTAGGGACTGCAATGGAAACATAAAACAATGTCCTCCAATGATTTGAAAGCACTATGACCTTAGAAAAATTCAAGGGGAAAAAATGTAAACCAATTTACAAAACCATCACCTTCCTTGTATTTCTAGCCACACACGATTCATTCCTAGATGCCTTCTAACTATTGTGTTTGGAAATCAAGGAGCAATCTGTCAAGTGGGCTTTTAGAGACAGGCTATGACAAATACTGGGAAGGAAACATTATGGGATTTTTTGTTCTCTGATAAAAGGGAATATACAAAGGATGAAGACACTTCCTTGTGTGTAAGCATCCTGCTGTAACACAGGGCAAACTCTGACTCCCAATCAATCACCAGGAACAAGTGTATGATGATCCGGTTATACAGATCCTTCTCTGATCAAGATATTCCTTGGATCTTGATAACCTCTGGTAACTGTCTGTTCTGGGCACAACCTTGTAATTTGATTAAAAGTGAAGAAAAGAAAAGAAAAAGACACCAAGTGCAAAAATCTGTATCCAGCTGACAAGACTTTTAAGGTGTTGGTCAGTATAATGCCCTAGCTCCAGCCTTTCAGTACCAGCTGTTACAAAGGTTTTTCTCTCGGCCGGGGAGATAGATCTGGATACACAGTTCACCCGTGTGGCTCAGGGTTGTTAGCGATTGAGGGCTGGTCCTGGTTAGAGACATCTGCAGCTGGAGGCACAGCTGGATTTGCTGTGGGCACGGTGGACTCTGGTGAGGCCCAGGCTGGTGCTGGAGGGGATCCAGTGGCTGCAGAGACAGGCACAAAATGAGGCAGAATATGTAAATTAGCATGTGAAAGGCACCCAGCCCCCCCCCCTTCAACAGGAGAGATGTGAATCCAGGGCCTCCGACACTCAGGGGACAGGCAATCTTTGACTCATTATCTAGGTTCTCTGGACTTTGTTACCTCCTTCTATAAAATGGTAGGTTGGAATGGATGTGCAAAGATCTCTGAGGTTCAGACATCCTGAGATCCAAAGTTAATGGTGTCTGCCAGGGCTTCTAGGCACAAATCCCTCGGATCTGGGCGGTGGCCATATCTCTGTTTTTTCCATGATGATAATGCAAATTAAGCCATAAATCATTCCATTGGGCCATGAGCCAAATTGCCTACAAATTGTTTTATTTAAATAACTGTATATAAAAGTTTGCAAACAGCCAGGTGCCAGTGGCTCACACCTAGCTACTCAGAAGGCTGAGACCTGAGGATCATAGTTTAAAGCCAGCCCAGGCAGAAAAGTCCATGAGATTTTTATTTCCAATAAACTCAGAAAGAGCTGAAGTGGCACTGTGGGCCAAGTGGCAGAATGCTAGCCTTGAGCAAAAAGAAGCTCAAGGACAATGTCCAGGCCCTGAGTTCAAGCCCCAGGCCCAGCGCATGCACATACACACACACACAGTTTGGAAACGTAATTGCTAGGTTTAATTATTTATCCATTTATCTTTAGAAGTGCTTATAGTTTTTGTGTTTGTTGTTGTTGCTGTTTGTGGGGCTTGAACTCTGGGCCTGGGAGCTTTTCCTGAACTCTTCAGCTTAAGGCTAGCGCTCTACCTCTTGAGCCACAGTGCCACTTCTGGTTTTCTGGTGGCTAATTAGAGATAAGAGTTTCACAGACTTTCCTGCCCAGGCTGGCTTTGAACTGTGATCCTCAGATCTCAGCCTCAGTAGCTAGGATTACAGGCATGAGCCACTGGCACCGGCTTGTGCTTACAGTTTTATATGCTGATATTACCCATTTTCAAATGAGAGTGGCTTTTGAGGTTATCTATCAGTGTCTAGAGATGCTGGTTGCCATAACCCCAGGATGGGAAGATGAAGTCTGGTGGGCAGAGCCCAGGGATGCTTCTAGGCTTCCTGGCATGCACAAGACAACCCCATGACAGAGAGCAGTAAGTTGTAAATGTCAGCTCCTGGAGCTGATAAGTCCTCCTGTATGTACTGAGATGTAGAAATGTTCAGACTGGGCTCTGGAGCCTGTCTGGTCTGTCCTATCATAGCTGTGTGATCTTGGACACGTTAGCCATCCTCCCTACCTCCAAGGAAAATGGAAGAAATCAAAGCATCTCTACATCACTGAGCTGGTGTAGGGGTTGAACAAGTTAATATTTACAGAGTGCTCCAAACAATCAATATCTGACATGAATGAGTACACTGGGCAAATGTTAGCTATGACCTGGGTTACTGAGGAAATGTGTTAAGATTTGTTCATTCCAGGCACGTGGCTTTACAGGACTGATAAAAGAGCTAGTGAATTTGATTGTGTGATGTCTACAATTCTCTTTGGGGCCACAAGAGCCTAAGAAAACAGCATCAACTTCAAAGCCAGAAAGGCCAGGAGACAAATAGTTCTGATGTTTATCAACTAGGTAAGCTTGAGCCAGTTTCTAAACTTCTCTGAGCCTTGGGATCTTTATCGGTAAATTAGGGGAAGCAATTTTCAGAGCTGGATGGTTAACTTAGTAAGCAAATTTTGTGCAAATAATTGTCACTTTGCCTTCAACAGGGATCCTAATTACTCTCAGCAATGTCCTGCTCTTCTGTTCTTAGGAAGTAGGTCCATTTTTTTCTCTTTGAAACACAGTCTTACTATATAGTTCAGGTTGGCCTTGAATTCACTCCCTTTCCCTCAGCTTGCTGAATGCTGGGGTATGGCAACCTGCCTGGCATATGGGGCCATTTTGAAAGGTTCTCAAATATCTGTCGGGGTTCTAAGATCCAGCCACAAGGTGCCAATGATTTGTAGGTAAAAGCCTTCAGGAGTTACGCCATGGCTGTGAGGAGCCAAAGGCCCTTGCAGGAAGCCCTGGTATGGACCTCACAAGCTTTTCTGGACTTTTCTGGACTTTTTTTTTCTGGCTTTTCCATCAAGCCTCTCCCAACACCTTCAGAAGAGGTTGTGGAGCCCGAGGCTTTCTAGAAGAATAGAACAGTGGGAGCTGGGTACCAGTAGCTCACGCCTGTAATCCTAGCTACTCAGGAGGCTGAGATCTAAGGGCCATAGTTCAAAGCCAGCCTGGGCAGGAAAGTCCGTGAGACTCTTATCTCCAATAAACCACTAGAAAACCAGAAGTGGCGCTGTGGCTTAAGCGGTAGAGCACTCACCCAGAGCTGAAGAGCACAGGGACAGCGCTCAAGCCCAGAGTTCAAGCCCCATGACCGACAAAACAAAACAAAACAAAAAACAAACAAAAAAACAGTGGGGGGCTGGGAAGGTGGTTCAGTGGTAGAGCGCTTGCCTTGCATGCTTGAGGCTCTGGGTTCGATTCCTCAGCACCACATAAGCAAAAAAGAAAAAAGCCGGAAGTGGCGCTGTGACTCAAGTGGTAGAGCCCTAGCCTTGAGCTGAATTGCTGAGGGACAGCGCCCAGGCCCAGAGTTCAGGCCTCAGGACCAGACCCCCCCAAAACAAAACAAAACAAACAAACAAACACAAAAAAACAGTGGGAGCCGGGTACCAGTGGCTCACGCCTGTAATCCTAGCTACTCAGGAGGCTGAGACCTGAAGATCCTAATTCCAAACAAGCCTAGGCAGGAAAGTCCTTGAAACTCTTATCTACAAGTAGCCACCCAAAAGCAAGAAGTGGAGTGGGCTAGAGTTCAAGCCTCAATATCTGCACCCAAACAAAACAGACAAACAAAAAAGGTAACGAGGGGATGGGAAGGTGACTCAGTGGTAGAGCGCTTGCCTTGCATGCATGAGGCCCTGGGTTTGATTCCTCCGCACCACATAAGCAAAAAAGCCGGAAGTGGCACTGTGGCTCAAGTGGTAGAGGGCTAGCTTTGAGCTGAAGAGCTGAGGGACAGCGCCCAGACCCAGAGGTAAGGCCCCACGACCCCACGACTGCCCCCACCCCTCAAGACCATTTGACAGCAGTCAGGAGACCTACTCTAGAAACTCTCACTTTGGATGGATACGGAATGGTGGATGCTTCAGTTCTAAAGTGCCTGAATCCCATAGGACTCCGTTTCCTCCCCTGTGAATTGTGGGACCCCGATGGTGTGCAGATCTACTTGGTCCCCAGGCTTTATCTTTCTGCTGATCTCCCTGGATGTGAATTCCACACTGCAGCCTGGAATTGTTCAAGCTGAGGGAAATGTTTAAATCACCATGGTAACAAGATAACTCAGCAATCACTTTTCTGATTAAAACAAAAAGTGCCAGTGTGTAAATGTAGAAGGAATGCCTAATTAGCACTGTCACCATTTCAACCTTCTGATAAGAACACAATAAAAACCTGCTAGAAGGTTCTGCAGGGAGTTTATTATCCAGTGAGCTGGATTGCAGGCTTTGTAATCACCCCCACTTCCCCCACCGTCTGTCCTAATTTTAAAGTGGTCCCTTTGTCTCTGCTCACCTGGAAGCCATGCTAATTTTATTACTGGACTGGAATCAAGGCAACCAGGAAAACCAGTGCGCTGTTCAAAATGAATTACAGAGTAGATTCCAGAGCCAAATAAAGGGGATTTGTGGATTCTCTGTACATTAGTGAGCATAACCAGGGGTTTGCTCAAACTATATAGGAGCTAAAGGTAGCCCCTGTTTTTACATGGTCCTTGAGCTAAGGACTGGCTTTTACACCTAGAATGGGTGAACACAAACTAAAAAAGGAAGAAGAGAGAAGAAGAAGAAGAAGAAGAAGAAGAAGAAGAAGAAGAAGAAGAAGAAGAAGAAGAAGAAGAAGAAGAAGAAGAAGAAGAAGAGGAGGAGGAGGAGGAGGAGGAGCAGCTGCTGCTGGTGTAAGCCTGTAATCCTAGTTACTCAGGATGCTGAGATCTGAGGATCGAGGTTCAAAACCAGCCCCAGGCAGAAAAGTCCATGAGATTCTTATCTCCAATTAATCAGCAAAAGGTCCGAAGTGGAGCTGTGGTTCAAGTAGTAGAGTGCTAGCCTTGAGGGAAAAAAAAGAAAAAGAAAAAGCAAGCAAGCAAGCTTAGGGACAGCAATGAGCCCTGAGTTCAAGTTTTAGGACTGGCACCAAAAAAAAGTTTGAAGTGGAGCTGTGGCTCAAGTAGTAGAGTGCTAGCCTTGGGCAAAAAGAGGTAAGGGAGGGTACCCTGGCCCGGAATTCAAACCCCAGTATCACTGCACACAAAAAAGAAAAGACTTCATGGTGTATTAAATGCTTTTGAAATTTAAGTATGTCTGACATGGAGTTGGGCATCTGACAGAGATAGCCAGAAAACTCAAATAATTGTTTATCTATATCTTTGCAGAAAAGTTTGCCAATCTCTGTTGGGACAGTTGTCTCCATCTGCTTGCCAGCTGGAAAGAACATGGGGCGTGCACTGAGTTAATGTTGCAAGAATGAGGTGCACCAGCGAGACCCTGGAAATCTCACACTTCAGAGTGGCAGCACTCTGCACTGGCACAGACTCCTGTCAACAGTTTCGAGTGCAGGGCAATGAGCCAAGGCAACACAGGATGACCCCGGACCCAGGAATCCCTGATTCGAAGGCCACTGCCTTCCTCCTCTGCCTTGTGCTAGGCCAGGAGCAGAGACCGCATTAAATGTAGATTCAGTGACAGAAAAAGAGCAAGGAAAGGCTTAATTAATCCCACTCAGATCATCTTACTCTTTTCAAAAGGATCTGGGGCTGACCATTCATCCAGAAAGGATAAAAAGGTTTAACTGGTTTAAATGGTGAATTCGGTGATTAGGATGGCCGAGGATGGGCTTGCCTAGTTGTATCTAGAGAGGCAGCTCTATGGCCCTTGTCCTAGTGTGGTGCTTTTGACTTAGATACT